GTTGCCGTCAGCAGGCACAGGACACACCAGCATCTCTCTGGTTCCAGCCCTGCCCTCCTGTCCCAGGCCTGCGTGCCCGTCACACACAAGTGCACACTGCCCACGTCACACACACGTACATGTATACACATACCACATCCGTGCATACACACCCACGTACGCACACACCGCACGTGTGCATGCACAGACACACACGGACACACACACACCTCTGTACGGTGAGGCCGAGGCCCTGCGCTACCCTTTTCCTCATCCACAGACCCGACCAGGTGCACGCCCGTCACTGACACCTGGCCCAGCCCGCGGTGTCCAGGAGCCGGGACCCCGATCCCCCTGTGCATCTGTTGGGCCCTTTCTGGGTGCGAGTGTTCGCTTCATCCCTCTCTGCCCCTTCCACAAACATTCCTGCAAAGCCCAGCCGAGAGGCTCTGTGCCCAGGCAGTATTTTTTTCACTCCGTTTCCTTTATCTTTGAAGAATATATTTGTGTTACAAAAAAAGGTAGATTTTATACCCTGTGCTGGGCCTCCATTTCCTCGTCTGCAAGGAGTTCCCACCCCAGGGTGCGGCGCTGTGAGGGTTAGTGCGGGAACCGGCCCGGTGGGGGCCTCGGCCGGCTGCACCTGTGCTCCATGAGCCTCTGCTCCTGGCGGTCACGCTGCAGGTGAGCCGTTGGCTTAAGCCCTTTCTATCTGAGGCTTCTCCAGGGTGCTCAGCCCCTCAAACCAAGGGTCTCGGCTCTGACACTGTGGCCTGGGGACCCCAGGCAGGCAGGCAGTGTCCCCCTGCCCCCAACCCCAAGCCTGGGGCAGACGTCCACTGATGGGGACGTGTGTGAAGCCTTGGAGGCTGGAGGGGGGTTGCTCCTGAAGCTTCTGTTTTGTTGTTAAGGATGTTTTTGTGGGGAGGGTGTCCTTTCCCAGATTTCTGTTGGGGATTCTGCATTAGAGCTCCTGCCTGTCATCTCCCGGGCTGGTGGCATGCTGCATGCATTATTAAGCGAGGCTCTCAGTTTGCCCATGTGAACCTGATCCTTGGTGTGGGGGCGGGGCCGGCCGTTACCATGGTGGGTGCATAGGAGGAGGATGGGGGGTTCCCCAGGTGTAGAATGACTCGGAGCAAGCATTTGACTCCAGTGGCATACTAGGATATAAGGGGAAGCCTAAACTTACTTTGAGAATTTCTGGAAAAGATAAGTTTAGTCTCGATAGTTTGTCCCTCAAAACATTTATTTCATTAAACTAGTGTTTCTTATAAGAGGTGTAGGAAAAACTTAAAGATACGGGGCTCACTAAATTTGTTCCAAATTATTTTCCTCAGGTAAGATGACTTTAGGAATTACGAGCTACATTTCACATCTGTCTCCACCTCCGGGCTCAGCGGTGTCAAGTCGAGATCTTGGATTTGGTCCCGGGGGGATGGGGGCGGAGTGAGGGGGTGCGCCGTAGAAGTGGGCAGAAGCTGCAGATTGGGGCTCTTCCCCCGAGGGCTGGCTGTTAGGGTTTGCCAGCACAGCGCTGCATAGAATATGTACGTTTTAAAGGAAAACGTAAGTGGATTAACGTGTGGTTGAGACAAAGCTGGGGGGCAGGCTGGGTGGCGTGCCCCTGTGTGGACTCTGTGGGAAACCCTGCTGAGGACCCACGGGGACCTGGGTGGGGTCTGCCTGAGCCAAGGTCCTGGAAGTCAGACCCTTTCCCGGCCGACCTGGTTCATCTGAAGCCCATCACTCAAGAGTTCTCACAGCCTATTATAAAAATGGTGTGTTCAGCTGTGGGATTAATTCTTCGTTGATGACATCGACCTATTTCCACAACTAGCTGAATCAGCCACGTGAATTACGTCGGTTTGTGATTTTGCGTTGCATCCCTCCCTGGCTTGACAGTGGGGAGCCCTGGCATGGCCGTGACACCCTTTCACGAGCCCGTGGCGTGCCAGGCTTCGTCAGCGCCCCTCCGTGTCTGGCATTCGTAGGGTCCCGCTGTGTGCCGGGTGGTCACCGTGTGTCCGCCCATGCAGGAGGCATTCACTGGGCACCCCCGGTGTGCAGGGCCTTGGGCTTGTCCCCAGAACAGGCAGCGTCCGTGCCACAGAGCCTGGGGAGACACGCTCAGGAACAGTCACACCGCGGGCGTCACCCTGCAGCTGGGGCATGCGCTCTCCAGAGGAGGGCCTCCGGGCCCATCAGTCATGGGTGCCCAGGTGGGGGCGAAGCCTTCCGAAGGGGGTTGTGGCCCCGGGAAGCCACCCGCCGAGGCCGGGGGAGAGGACGCCAGGCCCAGAGAGAGATGGTCGCCGATGGGTTATGATGGCTGGTTGTAGTGAACACCTACCAGCTGTGCACGGGGCCACCTACGTGAGCCCCGTGAATCCCCCAGCTGCTTGTGAGGAGGAAACCATGTGGCTGGTGTGTGAGGTGGGTGAGTGTGGCCGAGGCTGGACATGCGGCCGAGGGCCAGGCCTCGAGGGAGAGGGCCACCTTTACATGGGACAGGATTGCTTCTGAGGCGGCGCATGGCCCGGCCTATGCTCCCGTGGCCTCTCCCCGGTGTCATGGAGAACCTGGGCTGGTGAGGCGTGGGCAGCTGGCGTGTGTGCAGGGGCCCGAGGGGAGGCCGCCGTGGGCGTGCAGATGGGGTTGGCGCAGACCAGCGTGCAGGCGGCAGTGGAGATGAGTGACCCTGGTCTCTGGGAGGTGGCGTTGGTGGGACAAGGGACTTGGGGAGTGGGACGGCCCCAGGCTCTTGGTTTGCCTCACTGGACATATAGCGGGATGCTTCCCGGGTAGGAGACCCTATGGGGAACCAGGCGTGGCTAAGGGAAGCTCGGGTTTCAGGCCCGGATTTTAGGGAGAGGACACCAGAGGAGAAGTGGTTGGGGCTTGGCGTGGGGCTCAGAGGTGTTTGGACCTCCTGGTCCACTGCAGAGGCAGAGCTTGGAGCGGCAGTGGCCGGTGGCGGCGGCTTCACATTCATCCAGGTGGGTGTTGGATCACCTGGACCCGAACCCGGATGGTAGGAACGTCAGGCAGAGGGTGCCAAGGGCCGGCGCGGTTGGTTTCCCGCCACGGTTTGGGGAGCATGCCCCGCCCGGTCCTCGCGGTGGCTCCGACTCGGCCACCGATGTGCCATGGAGCTTGGAAAAAGCAAGGTCCCCTAAGTGTCACAGATATTTTAAAAGTCTAGATGGGAGAATTCGAAGTGTGTGAAGGACAAATACACCTCAAGCTAAGCATTTAAAATGAACGCACGGAATTTGAGAAGGCCCCAGGCTGCCCCCCT